AAAGAGCACTGTCTGATCTCACAAAGGACCCAGGTTTGATTCCCACCACCATCATGGTGGCTAACAACCATCCTTAACTCCAGTTCCAGGGGATCTGATGTCTTCTTCTGACCTCTGTGGGCAGTGAATGACATGCGTGCACTTACATACACACAGGCAATACAGTCATACACATAAAATAAAATAAAAACAATAAAATGTTAAAAGAAAAAAGAATTAAGCAACTTAAAAAGTACCAAAACCAGGGGCAGAAGAGATAGCTCAATGGTTAGGGAACTTACTGCTCTTGCAGAGGATGTAGGTTTGATTCCTAGGACCCAAAAAGGATCTCATAAACACTCCAAACTCCAGCCCATGGGGATCCAATGCCCTCTTCTGGCCTTTGTGGTCATTGCACACATGTGATGTACTTACATGCAGGCAAAACACTCATACACATAAAATAAATTTTTTAAAAAATGGTACACAGGCTGGAGAGATAGCACAGGGGTTAAGAGTACTGGCTGCTCTTGCAGAGGACTCTAGTTCCAAGGGATCCAATGCTTTTTTCTGGCCTCTGCAGGCATTTCATGCAGACAAAATGTGTATGAATGATACACACACAAAAAAAAAAAGATAAAGGGGCTGGAGAGATAGCTCAGTGGTTAAGGGCACTGACTGCTCTTGCAGAGAACCTGGGTTTGATTCCCAGCACCCACATGGCTGCTACAAACCATCCTTAACTCCAGTTCCAGGGGAATCTGAAGTCCTCTTTTGACCTCCATGGCACTGCACGACATGGGTACACTCACATACATGCAGGGAATACACTCATACACATAAAATAAAAATAAATATTTTAAGAAAAAAAAAGGTAAGCTGGGCGTGGTGGCGCATGCCTTTAATCCCAGTACTTGGGAGGCAGAGGCAGGTTGATCTCTGTGAGTTCGAGGCCAGCCTGGTCTACATAGAAAGTTCCAGGCCAGTTGGGGCTACAGGGAGACCCTGTCTCAAAAAGACCAAAAAAAAGGTAAAAAAACTTTCATCTAGATTTCATGCTTCTCTTTTAGGGTTAAAATATGGCAAAATTGGGGTTAAACAAATCCAGCATGAAAAAAGTACCCTGAATTGATAGGGGAAAAAGCATATTAAGTAAATTGGTTTCTTCAAATTTAGTAGCATTTTATTCTACATTCTATTCCGGAACATTTGACCACTAAGATTTTCTGCTTTTAAAAAAGTATGTTTTAGTAAATGTTTAGGAAAACTCATAGCAAAGATATGGGATCATTAGTAAGTAAACTGCTTATAGAGATGCACGAAGGACTAGGACTCGGGAGCCCCTCCTCATGTGAGGAGTCTGCTTTCTCTCCTACACTTTGAATGAACTTTGGCTTTGCAAAACTCTAAAAACAACACCAAAATGCATATGAATCTCAGTACTCTGACAGCAGGCAGGCAGATCTCTAAGTTTGAGGCCAGACTACTTTAACCAGTACTGCTCTGGCAATACTACTGAAACCAATTTAACTTTAATCAAACACAGGGTAGACATGAACAAAGAGCAAAGAAGCTGGGCTGACTGACTCAGGGATGTAATCCAACTACTCTAGAACCTGAGGCAGGAAGACAGCAAGTTCAAGGCCTGCCTGGGCAAATTAGTAGAGGCTTTCTCAAAATGTATAGAGGGCTAGGGATGTGGTTCAGGGATAGAGCACTTGTAAAACTGTATGTTTGAGGCTCTAGGTTCAATCTCCAATACTAATGAGAAAAACGAGGAAAGATCAGTGAGTGAACACAGTAAGACTAGCTCAGGTAAAAATAAAACTGAATTAATTTTAATCAATAATCTTTTGGTAAAATAAAGGTGCTTGAATCTACATAAATGTTTAAAGAAATACTTAACATTAACTTACCTTCAATATATGTTCTTTTTAATGGATGAGGCAACACACAATTGTCAGAAATAATCTTGTAATTTTCCCTCTTTTCACAATGAAGCCAAGCAAATATGCCTCTGAAACACAGAGACTCAAGTAAATTGTGGTATCCAGTAGGTGCTCATTAAAAAAAACAGGATCATCACTGAGTGCTTTGCTACCTCCCAGCAAAATTTCTATAATTTTTAAATGCTCTCAACTATAAGATAAACAGCCCAATTTGTCATTTTGACTGCATTTTATTTTTCTGGCACAATAATCTCATTTTTTCAAACCAAACAACAGCATAGAGGACTTTCCCCATGTATATAAGGCACTCATATACACCACAGGGTACTGAAGTTTCCTTTTCTTGGGGCTAAAGACATGGCTCAGCGGTTAAGAGTAAATACTGTTCTTGCAGAGGACCTGAGCTCAGTTCTTAGCACCCACGCTGGCAACTCCAGCCACAGGGGATCAGACACCCTCTTCTTGACTCCATGGGCTCCTGCACTCACACATACCTACACAGATACACATAATTTTAAAAAAATATCTCTAGGAGACCTGGGCCACATTCAATGAGACCAGAATAATGTATACCAGAGAAGTGATTCACCCTATGCTAGAGGAACCTGCCGCCTGCCTTTCTCCTGTGTTGGCATTCCATGCTTGCTTTTTCGGTACTTGATCAAACAGGCCAAGGTTGTTAGTGCCCGCAGACTTACACAGTTGTTGTTCCCCTTTCCTGAAACTTTGCAGGGATGCCTCAGGTATCAGCTCCAATGAGACTCTATCAGAGAAAGACTCACATAATAGCCCAAGGAACCGTTACCACATCCCAGTCATGTTCAGTACACCAGTCTCTCCATGATCAAAGCAAAGACCGCTGTTACTTTCCTACTCGCTGTGTTTCCCACATTGACTTCCAAACAGCTGGGACCTTGTCTACACATTCATAAGTATGTTATGAATTGCTAGGTCAGGACTTGGCACATTACAAGTACATGAGAAAAGGCAGAACGAATGAACTTGGTAGTTAAGTGTGGTGAGGATAGAGCAGCCAGAACTTTTACTCATTGCCAAAGATCATATAAATTGGTACAGTCACATTAGGAAACAGAGAAATTTTTCTTGCACATTCTGTACATATGCACACCCTATGACCCAGTAATTCATATTCCTATCAGAAATATACACATATTATCCAGATATGAACCAAAATGTTCATATCAAATTAACCCAACTATTAATACAGCTGCACCACTGTGGTTTGGCACTAAACTGTTTCCCCTAAGGTCATGTGATCAAGCCTTTGCTGCAGGCCTTCTTCAAAATGGTTGGCTCACAGGGGATCTGACCTCTTCAATGGACGAATTTACTGACAGGTTCAGAACTTGATGGGCTATTTGGGAAGTAACAGAAACTTAGAAGTCTTTTCAGAACCAAGAGGTGAGAAAGAGGATCTAAATAAAAGGAGTGGGTCCTCAGGGGCATGCCTTTGGGAATGTGTCTCGTTCCTGGCCCTCTTCTTTTCTGTTAGTGAGTGCAGACAGCAATGTCTGAAATGTGAGTCAACATCAGTCTCTCCTCTTTTTAAGCTGTTATTGAGTATTTTGCCACAGCAAAAGAAAATTGATTAACCCGTGCAAACAGCACAATTGTAGGGAAATTACAAAACAACAGATGCCAAATGTGCAAAAAGACCAATACCCACTAAGCTTATAATACCTCTTGAGGACTCCGGATTAATTTTTTAAAAAAATATTTTATTAGGGCTGGAGAGATGGCTCAGAGGTTAAGAACACTGGATGTTCTTGCAGAAGACCCGGGTTCAAATCCCAGCACCCACTTGGCAGCCAACAACTGTCCATAAGTCTAGTTCTAGGGGACCCGACGGCCTCTTCTGTCCTCCATGGGCATTGCACAATACAGGTGCACTTACCTACATGCAGGCAATACACACATACACAAATTTAAAAATATATTTTATTTATTATTATTTTATGTGTATGAAAGGTGTTATCTCATTAAGGTGACAACACCAATCTGACACAGGAAAACAGCCCTAACTAACCCTGAACTGCCTGATGCCAATGACTGTGCCCTTAAACTATTTTACCTCATAACACAATGTATTAAACTGGGCAATGTTATTGTATGTCTGAGAGAGCTTACTTCTCATGGTTTATTATAGTAAGTTGGGTTCCCTAACTACTGAACAACAGGTACACTGGGTCTCAATTTCATTAGAAAATGGAGATTGCTGGGCGTGGTGGCGCATGCCTTTAATCCCAGCACTCGGGAGGCAGAGGCAGGGTTAGGGTGAACTCTATGAGTTCAAGGCCAGCCTGGTCTACATAGTGAGTTCCAGGAAAGCTGGGGCTACAGGGTGACCCTGTCTCAAAAAGAAAAAAAAAAAAAGAAAGAAAGAAAAGAAAATGGAGATATTGAATGGTTTTCGGCCTACTGTGTTTGTGTGCCAAGCACTATTCTAAGATTATCACTGAAAATGAGAAAATACAATATGGTAAATCCATGTTCATCCTACTGGAACTGGCTATCAGATTACTGAAACAATGGGACCGCCCCCATATTTTTAGAATTCCCTCAGGAATCTCCAAGAGACTGAAGTGGGAGATAATAATGGTGAGGGGGAACCACACTTTAGGCAGACTGCTTATCCACACCTCTTGCCTTTTATTTATTTTTAATTTTAAATTTATTTTAAATATTTTATTATATTATTTTTATTTTATGCGTATGCTTGCATTGCCTGCTTGTAGGTAAGTGCACCCGTGTCCTGCAATGCCTGCGGAGGACAGAGAGGCTGTCAGATCCCCTCCACGTGGGTGCTGGGATTCAAACCCACCTTCTGCAAGAACAACCAGTGTTCTTAACTGCTGAGGCATCTCTCCAGCCCTCCTGCCTTTTATTTAAACCTTACCCAGACAGGAAGGTGAGGGTGGGGGAGGGAAGGAATGGTGTTCAAGGTGGGCTCAAACTCTGGTGGTCAGGCATGAAGGCCAAGTGCTTACTGGCTGAGCTAGCCTGCCTGCCCTAATTTGTCTCTTTTAATTAGCATATAGAGGACAGGTGATCAAACCTGGCTTCTTGGGGCACAGCCTGTGACCCTAAGTCTGGGAACACTACTTCCTTGAATTCATCTGTAAGGGTCAGTTTGTTTTTTTTTTCAAACTTAAAAAAAAATTTATTATTTTTATTTTATGTGTATGTGTGTATTGCCTGCATGTAGACGTAAGTGCATCTGTGTTGTGCAATGCCCCTGGAGGACAGAAATGGCTGTCGGATCCCCTGGGACTGGAGTTTAGGGACAGTTGTTAGCTGTGGGCACTAGATGTGGGTGCTAGGATTCGAACCCCGGTCTTCTGCAAGAACAATGTTCTTAACCACTGAGCCATCTCTCCAGCCAAGGGTCAGTGTTTTAACTGGACGTTATGTAATGTACATTCAATGTAAAACGCTGCATTCGATTTCACAAAATAAAAAACCCCTTAGGAACACCCACATATTGCCCTCTACTACAGTTAAAAGCAATTATCGAGTTGATAAACTATGGTTTCACATAGGAAATCCCATGGCATTCACAAACCACATACACAGAAAAGTACTCATTATTCAAATTTTACGAACTAAAATGATTTCATCACTGCAAGTTGAGTCCTAAGCGGGGATAATTATGTCGCGTCCGCTTTTTTCAACTGTTATGGGTGGCGCGTCATTAGACTTCTCTGCTGAGGGTGGATGTGACGAGCAAGTCATCTGGACAGGACAGGGAGGGCTCAGGGCCGTTCCGGTCACAAAGTGGCCAGGACAAGCCCGTCTGGGCAGTCACCACGTGCTGCAATGGGCTTTCCTGCGGCTCTGGCTCGGGGAGAAGATGGGCGTGCTTTTCCCAGGCAGTCTACGGTTTCCCGCGCCCGGAGGCGCTGCGGCTTCTCTGCGGGGGGCTTCCCGGAGCCAATGCCCGGGGCGGCTCGCGGCAAGTGTCCCGGAGCCCGGCGGGGGCAAGGCGGCCTCTCCGGACCCATCCAGAACTGTGCGGCCGCCGAACAGGCTCTGGGTGCTCGCGTACTAAGTCAGCCCGCGGAGAACGCCCGGCTGCAGCCCCGCGCGCCCCGCACTCACCCCAACTCGTCGGGCTGCCGCACAGCTCCGCTGCCCGCGCTCCGCTCCGGAGCCTTGCGTGCGCCTCCCGCCGCCTCCTGCCGCACCGAGGCCTTGACCCGCACCGGACCGGGAGGCCGAAAGAAGTAAAGAAAATTTCGCGCCACTTGCATGGCCCCGCCCACAGGCCGTCTCCTGTGCGTCACTCACCAGCCCGCCACGCCCACCCGGCGGCGCGTGACGAACTTCCGCGAACCCGCTACCGCCATCACAGAGGCTTTAGGCGCTGAAGCGTCCTAGGCCGCGGCTTCCGGTTCCTGGCTGAGCTGTACTGAGCGGTTCACAAGGATTTCCTCCACCTTTCTCCGTCCCTCTACAAGTTTTTCTCACCTGGATGTGACGCCTTAGAAGACCCGACGGCAGCAGAAGTGAAAACGTCGTAAAATGGCGAACCGTACGGTGAAGGATGCACATAGCATCCATGGCACCAACCCTCAGTATCTGGTGGAGAAGATCATCCGGACGCGAATCTATGAGTCCAAGTACTGGAAAGAAGAGTGCTTCGGGCTTACGGGTGAGTCATGGCTGGCCCCGGCCCCTGGTCTCGGCTGCCTTGGGGCCCTTTGTCCGACTCGGTGCGGATGGACCGACCCGCTGGGGTGTAGAGGCTGTAGTCCACTGTCCAGAAAAATTTGGGTGACTGTGTGTCTAGACTTGCATCGAGGGCACAGACGAATCTGATAGAGTCTTGCTTGATTCTGAAGAGTGTGTTAGGTTCTTTGAGTCGTACCTCTTATTTTGGACGGTCTCTCTCTCTGTGTGTAGCCCTGGCTGGCCTCGAACTCACAGAGATCCACCTGCCTCTGCCTCCCGAACTCTGGGGTTAAAGGCGTGCGCCACCACGCCCGGCCTGCCGTCCTACACTTTGATAAATTGCTGGGTCCCAGACTGTTCATCTTAGGAACCAACGTCAGCTCCTTGAATACAGCTTTCTGACGGTGCTAAAAGAACGTCGCCATGCTCATAACCAAATTCTTACAATTTTTTTTTCTTTTTGGTCTTTAGACAGGGTCTATCTGGAACTCCCTATGTAGACCAGGCTGGCCTCTATCTCACAGAGATCGGCCTGCCTCTGCCTCCTGAGTTCTGGGATTAAAGGCGCGCGGGACCATGCCAGCATGAGTCCTAGTGTTCTTAAATGAGTCAGTATTTTCATGCTTGGCTCCTCATCTGTTAATTCTGGCGGTACGGGAGATTAAACCCAGGACCAGGCGGGAGCTAGGCAAACTCTCTCTCAGGGGGTGTGCCCTAATACCGAGGTACATCCTTATGCCCTAATACAAGTTCTTGAGAATAGTTCTCTTGCAGTTTTCCGAACTTTATTGAAATTCCTGTTGTGACATGGCCTGTGACTCTGGCTGTGATCTTGAGAAAATAAATCACTTAGCCTTTCTGTGCCCTCATTACCCTTAGCTGGAAATAGGGACAATAACAGAACTTTATTCATGATTTGTTGTATAAAGATTGAGAGCTCATGAGGCCCCACCCTTCCCTTAAGCAGAGACAGTTAACGGTGGCTGGGGAAAGGGTGTCCTTTCTTCAGCAGGGTAGCCACTGATTAGTTGCCCATGCTCATTCAAGCAAGCCTAATTAAATACTCTGGGACACCCGCACACAAGTGCCTTGAAAGTAGGAGGGGGATTTGTTGGGAAGAAGGGTTTCAGTGGCAGAAGGTGAGGGGATGAAAAAGGGAAATGGAGGGATGAAAAGCTACTATATACATGTATGAAACTGTCAAAGAATAAAAAATAAAGATTAAGTGAACTATATGAAATGCTTTATATCAGCAGTTGTCATTATTACTATTGTTAATACACTCTTGTTCTCTTAGTAATGTAATTCTTCTTGACTGTTTAGGAGCTCTAAACTGAGCTGTTTCTTCCAACCAAGAAATGCTTATGCCTTTGATACGTCTGAGAGGTCATTATTTGTTTTTCTGTTTTAGCTGAGCTTGTAGTTGACAAAGCCATGGAGTTAAGGTTTGTGGGCGGCGTCTACGGCGGAAACATAAAGCCAACGCCTTTTCTGTGTTTAACCTTGAAGATGCTTCAAATTCAGCCTGAGAAGGATATCATTGTTGAGTTCATAAAAAATGAAGACTTCAAGTGAGTGCAACGTTGACTAACATATAAACTTCGATATTAGTCATTCAGAATTGGGCTTTGCTAGGAGGGCTGAATCTTACATATCTCATTTCCACAGACTTCTACTCCAGATCTTTGCTTTGTTAAGTCCTCAAACTTGTATTTTGTCTTTTGTGGTTATATTTACCTTCTGCTTTATCAGTCTTAGTAACTTGCCCCCAGAAAAGGGTTTCACAAATTAAATAAATACACACATATATATGTATACACATACATGTCAGAAGCATACATTGGTAGATATCAGATGTGGGGGTGATGTAATAGGATGTTAGTTAACAGGTGTTAGATCTGTATTCTTTTCTTGACTTTGGTTCCTATTGACTGTGACCTTGGAGAATTTCTTCATTTTCTAAGTTTACTAATTCATGGTAAACAGAAACAGCAGCTCACTATTATCTGTTCTCAAGGAGTCCAGAGACAGGTGTGATAATAGCTCACACCACCACCTTAAAACTATTCTACTCCTATTTTACATGAGAAAAAACAGACCCGGAGAGATTATAAGTAATTTGCTTAAGGTCAGACAACTAGTAAGTACAAATCTGGAGTTAGGATTTACTTGGTGGTAGAGCAGGTGTAGGGCTCTGGGTTTGAGTCCTAGCATTGGGGGAGATGGCTTCATAGTGCATTTTCTTTCTCTTCCTATTTTTTGGTCTTTTTGAGACAGGGTCTCCCTTTAGCCCCAGCTGACCCAGAACTTGCTATGTAAACTAGCTAGCCTCAGACTCACAGAGATCCACCTGCCTCTGCCTCCCATGCGCTGGGATTAATATTTTATTCATTAATCTCATTTTATGTGTATTAATGTTATACCTGCATGCAGGTAAATGCACCCATGTCATGCAATGCCCACCTAAGACAGAAGAGGCTGTCGTATCCCCTGGAACTGGAGTTATGGACAGTTGTTAGCTGCCCTGTGGGTGCTGGGACACCAACCTAGGTCTTCTACAAGAACAGTCAGTATTCCCAACAGCTGAGCCATCTTTCCAGCCCTTATTTATTTATTTTTAAAACTATTTTATTATTTTTATTTTATGTGTATGAGTGTATTGCCTGCATGTATGTAGTTACCCATGCCATGAAGTGCCTGCAGAAGACAGAAGAGGGCAGCAGATCCCTGGGAACTAGAGTTATAGATGGTTGCTATCAATGAGTGCTGGGATTCCAACCCAGGCTCTACAAGAACAGTCAGTGCTCTTAACTGCTGAGCCATCTCTCCAGCCCCCTTACTTATTTATTATTTATTTATTTATTTACTTATTTACTTATTTACTTATTTATCTATTTTGAGACAGCCTCTCACTTCACTCTAGCTGGCCTGGAATTTGAGAGACTAGGCTGGACTCGAACTCACAGAAATCCACCTGCCTCTGCCTCTTGATTATAGGCATATGCCACCATATACTGTTTGAGTGCCCTTTCTTTCTTAATCCTTTTTGTTTGTTTTTGAGACAGGGTCTCATTCTGTAATCTGGAATTCATAATGTAGCCCAAGATGGCCTTGCACTCAGAGATCTGCCTGCCTCTGCCTCCTGAGAGGTGAGATTAAAGGCATGTGCCACCATGCCTAGCTAGAGCGCATTGTCTTTTTTTTTTCCTGTCTGTTTCTTCTCTGAGATAGTGTCTAACTACGTAGCCCTGTCTAGCCTTACATTTGATCCTCTGCCTCTTGAGTGTTGGGATGATGGGCTCAGCTACCCGCCCAGCCAGAATATGTATTCTTTTCTATTCTGTTCTGAATTTCATATGATGAAGCTTGGATTTCAAATGGAGATTTGAGTAACTGGATATACAAGATAGAAACAAGGTAGAAATATTACCAAAAATTTAACAGGAAAAAAAAGCTAACTTTTGTTTGGCACTTAACTATATGCTTATTTGTATTTATAACACTGCATTTTCCTTTGCTTTATTTATTTTTTTGTTTTTTTCTTTGCTTTTTTTAATTATTATTTTTATTTTATGTGTATGAGTGTGTTGCCTGCATGTATGTAAGTGTACCCATGTCCTGCAGTGCCTGAGGAGGTCAGAAGAGGGCTTCAGAGACCCTGGAACTCAGTTACGGATGGTTGTTAGCCACCATGTGGATGCTGGGAATCAAACCTGGGTCCTCTGCAAGAGCAGCCAGTGTTCTTAACCACTGAGCATCTCTCCAGCCCCTCTTATATTTTTTCTTATTGTACCAAATCAGTAAACTACAGCAATATCTCCATGTTATAGAAATTAAGAAAAGTTACATGCCCATTGTCACATTATGGAATCAGAATTTTAATCTTGATGACTTTGACCTTTTTCTAGAACCTATATTTGTGGCTATGTATACTTGTTCTAATATTGTTATAAAATATATATTATGCCTTCTGTTGTTAAATTTAGTATCCTGTTTGAATCTTAGGATAATTCTTACAGGCAGTATATCTGAAAGTTGAGCAACATTCACCAAGCTCTCACAGCCAGTAATTAATAAAGTAGGAAGTTGAGGTCAGGTCTCCATATTTAGAACTTTTCAAGTTTTTATTATTTTTATTTTATGTGTATGAGTGTATTTCCTGCATGTATCTACGTGCATGCATATCATGCAATGCCTGAGGAGTTCAGAAGAGGGAGTCAGATCCCCTGAAACTGAAGTTACAGATGGTTGTTAGCCACCATGTGGGTGATGGGAATTGAACCAGGGTCCTATGCAAGAGGAGTCAGTGCTCTTAACTGCTGAGCCATTCCCAGAGTCCAGCTCCACCTGAGTCCGGGGCCTGAAGGGGCCTGAAGGGGTGAAGGTAACTGTGGCAGCAGAAATGACTGTACCAGAAACCACAATTGCAGTTCTAGTAGAGGCTGTTGACTGACCCGCTCGGGAGAGGTCAGCCCGAATATCTTCTTTCTTTTTCTTCTCTCTCTAAAAGTAGCCTTTTACAACCTTTATTTATAATTAGAAAGCTTACAATAGCAGTAAAGCATAAATCAAACCATGAGTTTGCACAATATTTCTCAGTGTACAATATTTTTCAATAATCACAGTAAAAGGAAAGTACAAAGTTCAATGATTAACCTTCTCTTAACAAAGCCAAGCAATGTCTTCGTTGTTTTCTTTATAGCCTTGTGGTTTCTATTTTACCATAGAAGTTTGAGACAGCCTGTCCCCATTTGCCCTTTAATTCTTTGAATTTAATATTTACAGGTTGGCGTATATTTGAAAAAAATTATTTTTCTCATGGGAATAACCAACTCCTTTTATTTATTGTCTAACCAATATTCCAATTTATCTTTCTCCTCTCCCTTTTGCTATTTCTTCCTGAATGTTTTGTATTCTTTGAGTCATGTGATTATCTTTTCTATTTCAACATCCTTTATTATTTTGTTGCCATTTATCTTTAAGGGCTTTTTGAATCCCTTTTAATCTTTGTAAAAGAATGGGC